GGGTCATGGGCACTGGGTTAATTCCCTTGCATTAAGCACTGAATATGTTCTTCGAACTGGGGCTTTTGACCACACCAGTAAACACTATTCATCACCGGAGGAAATGAAGAAGGTGATTTTTTTTATTATTTGGCAATTGTAAATGTCTTCCACGTTCTGTTTTAATTTCCTAGGTAGTTTTTGATGTTGACATCATTTTCTGTTTATTATTCGTCCATGTTTCATTTTTAGATCATTGGTGTTTAGACCTGTGTGTATATTAGGAATTTTATTCAACTAATCAGATTACTGTCCAAAGAAAATAAAAGAAATTATCCTGCTACCAGGATGAGCAAAATTAGTTGCATAAACATTTAACCAGTAGGTTTTAGAGTATTTTCTTGTGGGTTCTGTGACACAATTAAGTTCAAAGATCAAAAACAACTGTTACATTTTTGCTTCTGTGGGTATAGGGAGTTTTTCAGTTTTGGCTTGCCTCATATTGGAACAATAACAAGGGGAAAGATGAAAATCACTCGCATAACTGTGGACTTGTCAAAGTCAAATGTCCTGAAGGTTGCTTTGCTAGAAATATGTTAAGAAGAAAACTTATGATGGAACTCACAGATTTTAGATAGTCTTTTGTAGCCTTGTCAATTACAAGTTTGCCCTTAGGATTCTTGAGAATTAGATGTTTAGTTATTTGTTAATTGCTTTCTGCGGACGTCTTGGAGTGCAACTCATTCTTGTTCTTCTCTCTTGCGTTGGCAACTCCTGACCACACTTCTTTTTGTATCTCACTCTGTAAAGTTGACCAAACTTCATCGGTTTTGATAATTGTAGGTTGCCCTTGAACGTTATAACAAAATGAAAGGGAACGCCCCTGAAAGATTAGTTTCAGGATCTGATGATTTCACCATGTTCCTCTGGGAACCTGCTGTCAACAAACACCCCAAGACTCGTATGACAGGTCACCAACAGGTATTAAGTGACGATTGCCTTCTTATGATTGCAATACGGTTCTTTATCCATTGCCAATGCATTATTGATTGTATTTTCATGTTATTTTACTATCTATCTTGACTAAATCATACTATAGATGTTTAGAATCGCTTAAAGAATTGTGCTTTAAATTATTTGAAGTAGCAAAGTACTTGTTTAAGATAAAAATTCTGAGATGTCTCAAATTTTTATACGGGAAAAAAAAAAGTGTCGTAGAGATATTTGTCTTCTTAGTGTAAGAGTGAAGAGTTCATTAAAAAGATAAAAATTGTTGTTTTCCGCTTTACTGCTTGAAATTCTCGGAGGCAAATTGCCTCAAGTCATGTTAGAAAACTCTTCTAATATGGTAAAAAAGTAAATCAATAGGGAAGAAAGATGAGCACATGCCAACAGTAGGAATAGGATGCATTTCCTTGTTAAGTTTACTTTGAAGACTTTGCTTATTTTGTTAAAAGAGAGTGCAGAGTTACTTGCTAATGAGCACTAAATAAGCAAATCCCAAATACTCACTCATTATTTACCTGACAGTTAGGAAGTCTTTGATATCTGAGCAGCTTGGACTAGCGTCACACAACCGATAATACATATTACTTCATATTAATAGACTTGAACTAAATACTAAAAAAAGATTTGATTTTTTAGCTTTCTGTTGTTTGTACAGCTTGTAAACCACGTATATTTTTCACCGGATGGGCAATGGGTAGCCAGTGCCTCATTTGATAGGTCAGTCAAGCTATGGAATGGTCTTACAGGGAAATTTGTTGCTGCTTTCCGCGGTCATGTTGGGCCTGTTTATCAAATTAGGTTTGAACTTTCCAACACTTCTTCATCTCCACCTATGTTGAGAAGGATTTATCATTTTATCCTGTATTGCTCTCGACAGCTGGTCTGCTGACAGTAGGCTGCTTTTAAGCGGGAGCAAAGATTCCACGCTAAAGGTAACTCATATTGGACACATCAAAGAAGGTGCTAATTTAGATACTATTTCTTTGCGTCTTAAACGTGCAACCAATTTTCTTTTCAAAGGTTTGGGACATTCGAACAAAGAAGCTGAAACAAGATCTTCCTGGCCATGCGGATGAGGTATCTTCCATCTCAAGAGGGCTATCCAACCCTAGTGTCCCACAATATAGTTGTTCTGGTAACTGACCTTTAATCTTCTGGTTGAAGGTCTATGCTGTTGATTGGAGTCCAGATGGTGAGAAGGTCGCGTCTGGAGGCAAAGACAGAGTATTGAAGCTGTGGATGGGCTAAAGATTGTCAAGGGAGAAGATGAAAGTTATTTGCGTCCTGCACTTAAACTGGTATGGCAATTTCTTGTCCCAACAGCAAAATCTTTGCTCATCTACAAAGTAATATACCAACATGCGTGAGAATCACAGTATTGAGATGATACAGAATTAAACTCGAGAGGCTGGATCCTTGAGAAGGCCGTGTTTGATTTAGAAGTTAATTTAT